CCCTTCCCCTCCCCCTCTGACGTCACCCCCCTCGCCGCGGGTACCCCCCGCCCTCACCAACCCTCGTTGCCCCTGGGTTATAACCGGCCTATATACCTTACTAATATAACAAATGCAAATTTTAACAAATTGGATTCATACAAACGAATCTAGATGCGATGCGGTTACCTGAAACGTGGCTAACTTCAAGCGGGAAGACATTATTGATTACATGCGTATGTATATATGGTATGTAGTCAGCAACTAAACGGTTGCAACACTTTTTTAGTAGGTTCCGAAATGCAGCCTACTTACTAAGCGATTGGTTATTATTTATGGATCCATAAGTAACAACCAATTGCTCGGTGAGTATCTGCTGCATTCCGAGATCCACTGAAAAAATAGATCAACCTTTTAGGCCCAGTTCCACAACTCATGGTTAACTCTTAACTGAGGTTCCAACTTGTTTCTCATCTCTTCCCAATTCTAGAATTGAAAAGAGGCTATGAATAAGTTGAATCTCGATTAACTGTGAGTTGTGGAATTGGGCCTTAGTCGGTAAGTGTACATGTTCATATCTAATTATACTATATTACTACGACTACATTCGGAAACTTCATCCTAGTGTCATTATATATTTGTTTTATGTCTAATAAACGATAAAGATACAATAACGCATTAGGGCAATAACACTACAATGACACATTAGGACAATCGGATGACGTTTCTGATCGTAACCGTACTTACGCAGCTTATATGCAGGGTGTCCCATTTTAAATTGTGCATTAAGATTTCTCGAAAATTATAGTAAATACGGAAAAATGTTTTAAAATTGTATGGTTCGGAGGGGGACATAAGAATGTATCATTGATTTGACCTAGAGTGGCGTCGCCGAGGCCAGGTCAATGTCACAGCGATTTTTTTAAGTGGAATCCCCTATTTTTTGTTACACTTTTTTTGTAGCTTAACTCGAAAGCTTTTCAAAACGTTACAATAACATATTTTTTCATTATGTATTTTTCGAGTTATAAGGCTTGAAAGTTACAGTACATTTGGCATTAGTATTATGCAAGTTGTCCGACCGACGGCTAAAACCTCTTGAATATTGTTCAGAATCATGTCCTAAATACTACCTAAGTAAATTAAATTAATTTCTTCAGAGCTAAGTACGACTTCGCCTAACGTCATCATTCTCATTACCTCATCACTCCGCGCTCGATTCAAGTGCAGCTTGACACAGAACAACGCGCGGGACGATGAGATAAGAGGAAACCGAGTCGAAAATCGGCTGAAATGTGCAACCCGTATAATACGTCGTCTACAATACCTGGAGTAAGAAGTAAGAGTACTCTTTAAATCTGAATCAGTGGATAGTGACTAATTACCCAGTGGTATACTTGGCACTGATAATTAATCAATAAAGTTTAACTAAAAAAGGAAGAATGTTTGAGCATTATATAATTAAAATACTGATATTTACACGTTAATTTCAATCTTCCAATATCCCATATTCATTGAATTTAAGAACTATAATAAGGTTAGTTAGATCACATAATATAAAGATTAGCTAGGTGAGGGATTTCACATTTAATTCACTGATTACTAGTGGCATATTTGGCACTGGTATCAGTGACTATCCACTGATTCAGATTTAGAGAGTAAGAAACTCACCAATCACAGTTGAATGTGAGAAGAATAATCGACTGTGATTAGTCAATTCCGTACTTTTACTTACTCTGTGCGTTGTAGACGACGCATTATATACAATGTAAAATCTGTCGTACTCACTTTATTCATTCCACCTCGCCGTGCCTAATTTGACCGTGCCTGCGATCTCTCTCGCGCCGTCGGGTATTTCCAGCATGTCTCTTGCGACGACGTCGTCGCCCGCGCTGGTGGCATCATTGTCCGCGCTGACGGTCGCGTCGTCCTTGGCACCGGTGACGGCGTCGTCGCTTCCGCTAATGACGACGTCGTTGTTTGAGCTACTGACGTCGCCGCTGGTCTTGTAGAGGTCGCTAAAACCTGACGCGACGACGTCAGTAGCAGCTCCTTGGCACTTTCCTTGTCACCACCTTCTCAGGAACAATCTTTGTGTGGCGCGCGTGCCTTCTTCACTTTTATCTGAAATGAATATAAATATAAATATATTTCAAAAATTATGTTATTAATCAATTATGGCTGCGGTCCGTTTTTTACTGCGAGGATTGAAAATCTGTAGTTGATGTTACGTATATTACAGATTTTCCACTCGCAATGAACAACGGAATGCAGCTTACAATTTTCTTCCAACGGATATATTATTAAAATTTACATACCGTCTTCATTACAGTGTGTAAATTCTAATTGCATATTCGTCGATTATAAAAGTTCAATATTTATATTACAGTCGTTAAGAGTTACAGAATAGGCTTCTAAAATTGTTATAACAAATTAGTCAAATGTACGTTACTTACATTTTCGTGTGGATTTGTTCTTCATCTCGCCAACTGCTAGTGCCACTACCACGTCTCACGAACGAATGATGACTGCGATGTCTGGACCTTGTGCTCCGTACTGAGCTGAGAGTCGAAACTGTTCTGTTGCATTTCAATTGTTTAAACCAAATGAAAATCGACTGTGCGGCGCGCCGCGGCGGTCCGCAACGCGACGGTTCGCTCCTTACCCTCCACACAATGAAATCTGTCTACATGCATAGGGCAGCATGATAGTCATGTATATACGTGTGCGCTCAGTATCTGGCTATATTCTTGATCTGAGTGTAAGACGGCTCGACGTGAATGTCGTTTTCTCATGCACTGTCAATGACATATATGTTTATGTGTGGCGATTATATATACATACAAGGTGTCCTGCAACTAGCACATTATCTTCTAGAACGTGTATCTAAGATAATTAGAAGTCGAAAATCCTACAAAAATGTCGACGGGCTATAATACTATTTAAATTAATAAAGTAAAATTAACAAATAAAATTATATTGGTGTCATCCTCTCTCTCTCGTCATAATTATATTAAATATAATAAAGGGCATGTAAGAGTCTAAATTACTAATTTTATGTTGAGAAACATAGAGTATATTACATAATAGAAATCATTATATTCTAATTGTTACGAGATAATCTCCTTTATACTTTCGCGCTATCTATTAGCGGTAATATTATCGACCTCGTATCATTTACCACATTATCGATGTATTACTAACGACATCTACGTATTGTAATTTTTTATTCTATAAGTTGTCAGCACTGTTACGCGCGCTTCACTTCTATTTCTTTTTTCTTCGCTTTTTTGTTTTTTGTTGTCATCGTGTGCGCATCAGCTCGCTGTGTTCCTTATTTGAAAATATATTATCCGCTTATTTCAAGTCCGTTGTGTTTGTTCCTGATCACCTCACAACACTAATCGATTAAAATTATTACATATTTCTCTCTTTCGATAGGCCCTCTTTACATGTAATAATTTTAATCGATTAGAATATAATGATTTTTATTAATGGGTGCGTTCGCTATTTACGCTCACGCGCTTTAAGCACTTATAAGCATCGCTTATATCGTTCATTTTTCTCATTGTAAGCACTCACGGAAAGGCAGAGAAGCATTTATGACGTCATCTTGTCGTCATAGATACTGCTCATAAACGCTTCGTCCATCGAGGTAGGGCAGCAAAAGCGTGAACGCTTACAAATGCTTATAGTCAAAAGTAAACGCAATAAAAGCGTGGTCTAACCTAAAAATAAAAAATGGCTAGTGAACGTGATATTGCTTCAGTTTCCAATGATATAACGATATCCGTAAATTTAGAAGATGCAGAGACTCAACAAATATACTCAATATTTGTAACTGCTGAAAAAGCAGAACGTTTAAAAACCGGTAAGTTTATTATACAAAGCATATCGATACGTTTTGATGTTTGTCATTCATTTATTTATGTACGAACTGATTGTAAGGCTGACTTATTAGTTCCTTCCTTATTTATTTCTTTGTATTTTTCTATATTTTCAGATCGAGCTTATGCTAACGAGATGCTCAAGACGATTAAATAAGATAAGTTTAATAGGATTGTGAGTTTTTTTTCTATGTTTTATTACTAGCAACAATAGTTAACATCCTTCTCTGAATATCCGTCAACACTAACTTTATTGTCTACATTGCATAAAATATATTAAAAAATGTATTTAAGGAATTTATATTCTAACGAATTTATTTTTATATTATTTTAATGTAGGTAAGGAAAGTTCACCGAATACAATAGTAATCGAGTCAGCAGAAAGTGATGAAAAAACAACAAATGAAGAAGGAGGTGAATAATTCTATTTATAATTTACTTAATGTCTAAATCTGATTTTAAATAAATGTATTTTTGACAGCGTATAAATGGCCACATGAGGCTATTCTTTTATTGATAGAAGAATATCGATTACGACAGAATGACTTTACAAGTGGAAAGATGTCTCAAAAGAAAATATGGCTATTAATTGCAGAAGAGATGCTAAAACATGGTTACCTTGTTACTGGACCACAATGTTTATCAAAATTTTCTGGATTAAAGAGAACATATGAAGCCATCAAGGATCATAATAAAAAATCTGGGAATGGAACAAGAACATGGCCTTATCTTTCTGTAAATTGTTATTTTAAAATCAAAATGCCACATATATATATATATACCTATATATATGTATATATATACATATATATAATATTTTTATGAATATAAACTTTAAATGTTTTTTTTTAGCTTATGGATGATTTACTTGGCACAAAACCATTTATGTCGCCTGTAAGTACTATTTCCACAACCGGCAAAAGGTCACGAGCGGAATCTGAACAGTCAGACTGTAGTCTGACATCCTCCAATGAAGACAAAGAGAACTCAATGCCTAGTACGTTAATAATTTTATCTAAATAAGATTGTCCGATCATAGAGTTACTTCACTATTGACTATAGAGTTATTTTTATTATTTGCAATTGATTTTTTACAATAAGCTTTTACTAATTAATTCAATTAAAGTGTATAAATAATAATCTAATTCTCACTAATATTTTGATGATATTTTTTAAATAGAAAATATTTCTAACATTTTATAATTTTAATTAATAAATTGATTAAGAATTATGAATCCTAAGATTGCAATATTGGAATATTAACTTATAAAAATGTATTAATATTTATCTGTATGCAATAATATGTATTTATTTATGATATTTAGAGAGAAAGGGGCAAATATCTTATACAGTACAAATGATGGAAGATTTAAAAAATGATAGAAGAACTGCAGAAGCAGCTCTGGAAAGAAGACATAATGAAAATAAAGAGCAATAAGTACGTGGCGTACTTATTCAAACCTTTAAAGAAATGATTGATATTTTGAAAGAAAAAAAAAACTTTTACTGTAATCATCTATATTTAATATATTTTATACTAGATTCTATACTTCATATATATTACTATATTATGTACAATACATTATTATTGATACCTGCAATATAACCATATAACACTTATTTCTTAATAATACTCATAATAATTATTATACGTGCAATTATACTTACAAAACGCTTTATTTATGCCAAATATAAATTTTCATTTTAGTTATGTTATATTAATGTAAGTGTAAATATTGCAAAAATAAATTCTTATTTTCTTATTATTAAATTATCACAAATTGTCTTCCGTTTTCTCTGACCTTCCTTATTTCTCCTTTCAGTTACTGTTTCAATGTCACTATTTTCTAAAAAATTTAATTCTTCAATTAAAATATCATTTTGCAGTAGACATATGTTGTGTAAAATACAACAAGCAATAATAAACTCTGGGATTAAATCAGTACGTTGCATGTCCAAAACTGTAAGTAAACTTCGGAATCTCCCCTTGAGAAGAGCAAATGCTTGCTCGATTTTAATTCGAGCGGATGAATGACAAAAATTATAATTTTTTTGTCTATCTGTAAGGTGTCCGTTGTCACGAAACGGTGTCATTAAATGCTCATGAAGAGTGTATGCGGCATCACCCACTAAATGGCTATCATTAGAAAATTTTGTTTCATCTTCTAAATAGTCAGAAACTTCAGATAAGCGAAACACTCTTTGGTCATGAACGGAACCAACATGTCCAGCAAGACAATGAGTGAATAGCAGTTCATGATCACAAATAGCCTATTAATAATAAATAAAAAAATTTAATTATATATAACTAAATTTAAAAAATTAAGAGATTATATATAACGTAAATTATACTTGTAATTGTATACTATGATGTCCCTTTCTGTTGACATAAGATTCAGGATTTATATGTGGTGCTCTAATATTAATATGTGTGCCATCTATGGCTCCTATTATTCCGGGAAAACCACTAGTTGCAGGAAATCTGTTAATAACTGTTTCTGATCTATTACCTTCTGGCCATTTCACAAAAAGAGGAGCAAGTTCAGTGTGACTGCCTTAGTCACTCTTCTTACAGATTTTAATACTGTGGCTTTTGATATATTAAATTTTTCACAAATGGATCTGAAAGAAATCAAATGATTAATTAAAAAAGAATTATATGTACAGAAATTAAATAAATACTTAAAAATAATTTTTAAAATATAAATTACGGACCGATATGAATCTGGAGTTGCCATTTTCCATATTGCAATTAAAAATTGTTTTTCGGGTGATATTTTTTTACGTCCACAGTTTGAAATATTTATTAATGAAGGTCTTATCATATTAAAAATATAATTGAACGATGATCGTTTCATTCTGAAAGGAAAAAGATATAAATGATTTTGCATTTATAGAAATCATATATAGAAAAATGTGTCCTCTATAATAATATATACATATATATAATAAATCATTAGAAATTATTATCTCAAATATCTCGGAAGAAAAGCATTATGTTTATTATTTTTTTAAACATATTTTTAGAATAATGCATTTTT